TTTGCATGTGTTATTAGAACTACAATATAGATATTGATGACAAATATAGACATACGATATAGATATACATGACAAATATTTAGTGTCGAAACGGCCAAAATATATAATTTTTAAAACCTATCGTTTACTTATTTATATACATGTATTTGTGTTGTAATAGAAGAAGTTGATTGCAGGTTCAAATTAGAAAAATATGAGTTCTACACATTGGCGGCATTTCTGCTTTGTTTCATATTTGCTTTTTTAACATTTATGAATACCAATTCATTAAAAAATGATTACGATACAGGTAAAACAATGAAGTTACACAATTTAATTTACACAATAGTATTGTCTATCATTTTAAATCTATTTGTAGACACCCTTAAACAAAAATTGGTATGTTATTACAATCTACCACATAGAAACCAGTCTCTTCAACCTCAACGTTTAGATCCTTTTCTATGTACGCATATTATTGTTGGATTTTTGGAAATCAATAGCAATTCAATTATTATTGAAGAAAGGGATATACATGTAAGTACATTTCATATTGTATATCGCATATATTAATAATTATATATTGATTAAGATATTTTTAAAACGTAAATTCGGATGCTTAATTATGATGTGATAATGCTGTAGTATTCACGACTATAACATCAAATTTTTATTAAAGAAATTACTCTTCGTTAGTGCAGAAACGGTATGGGCTTAATAAATAAGCAAGTATGGGCTTGAATCGTATTTAAACGATTTATACGTAGATTTATTTCATAGGTCTTCTTGAAAAAAAAAATTCGATACATACCGATTCTCAATTTCTCAGCTAAGGCCCCAAAAATCCAAAATCATTTGGTGATCATTAACGGGGGGCGTTCATTAATTAGGTGAGCCTTAAAGGGGAAGACGAGGTTTGACAAAGAAAAAAACAGATATCACGTGCATTTATTTTTTACCTCAATTTAAAAAATACAAGTGATATTTGGTGAGGGAGGGGGTGGTAATTTTAAATATCACTACGTATCACTAAGGGGGGAGATCCAATAATGCTTAGAAATTGCTCACGCCATTAATGCACGCCCCCAAAAGTAGACGTATATCATTAAAAATTTGCGAAAGTAGCCCCTTTATTCGAACTCAATTTCTATCGGAACTTTAAAAGTTATCGTAAAATAATCAACGTAGTTTAATTCATAATCGTAAAATAATTAATGTAGATCAGTTAAATAATTATTTGCTCGTGTATAAAACTGTGGACTAATTGTTTGAACTCATAGCATATAATTGAAATAATCTGGACAAAGGAAAAATGGGTGTAAAATAGACAAAATTAGAAAGTCTTTAGAGGGAAAAATATGTCGAATATAATGAAATTTACGTATAAATGGATAATGATAAAATGTAGGTTTTTTCTGATAATTTGTTATACTTTTATATGTATTTTTCATAATTTGAGATATTATGAAATGAGAGTAAAAAAAGTATTTTTTTTAAATATCAATATTTTTTGAGTTTTAATGCAATTAAACTGTTGGAATACATCAAAGTCTTTCCATTCAAATTAATTCTTATAGTTTTGCACACACAGAGAATTTTGATGATATAAATATTGAATAATTAATAACAACTGTAATTATTATAAATAATATTCTTAACACGAATTTTTTTTTACTGAAAACTACTCAAAAACTTATTTCCTTATAAATATCATACATATTTAAACTCAAAAAACTATTGTCCTTTCTGAAATGTGTCTGTTTTTGAATAATATTAAAAAACTTAAAAAAATGAAGCTATTTCTGAAGACTTTCTGCAAAAAACTTTTATTGGCTCGACTGTAAGTCAAACATTTCTGCACTAGAGAAGACGAAACTTACTAAAAGTTAGATATTTCAACATTAACACAAAACACGCACTAAATAAATATACTAAATATAATTTTTGTACTTTTTTTAAGGTATATGAGACTGTAGTTAAATTGAAACAAATTAATAAAAATCTGAAAGTAATGCTTTCTGTTGGCGGAAATAGAGAGGACAGCGAGTTTTCTGCAATGATAAAAAATCATGCAAATCGTAAAGAGTATGTGCATTATATGAAAATTATAGTGCTCAATAATTAATTATTTGCACTGACTAACTAATATACTATTGTACTAACTAACAAATTTCTAATCCAGGTTTATAGGTTCATTAAAGTATATTTTGCGAAAGTACAAATTAGATGGGGTAGATTTGGATTGGGAATTTCCTGGCCTTAATCCTGGTCGTGACGGAATGTTTAATAATCGTGAGAGGCAACATTTTTCACAATTATTACGTGAAATCAGAATGGAGTATGTCAGAGAGAAAAGGGATTATATTTTAAGTACAGCTGTTGCAGCTCCTAGAACAATTGTGGACATATCATATGACGTATTAGAGTTGAATAAATATGTAGACTTTGTAAATGTTATGACATATGATTTTCATTTCTATAGCAAATTCACACCATTTACAGGTTTGTTATTAAAGTATATAATATACTTATTTTAAAAGCATGAGCAACTTGTTTAGTATGCGCAATCCAAAAAGCAATTTCTTAAGGAATATGATAAATCAAGTTTTTTTTTCTGAAATTTATAACACGTCCTGGCATCATTCGGTTATTAAGTATAAGTTCTGGTTTTATTCCTTTATAAATATATGGACACGCTTTCATAGTCCTCATAAATATCACTATTTTCCTCCGTTACTCACTCATGTTTATAATTTATATTTGTTTTCAATTCTAGTTGCTCCGTGCAGCAGGCAGTTCTTTCCCCAATATGGACCCAGTACAGTTTCCTTTTTTTTAAAATAATTCTGGTCCTTTCATCTACCAATTTTGAACGCACTTCCCTGTTTGTTGCTTTGTAGGTACATATTATCTTCTTCATATTTCTCTAATCCATTTAGAGCGCTCCAGATTGTTTCATTGACCTTCTTTAGATAATGTAAATTACAGAATAATGTAAAGTAAAGTTTGTTTTTATAAAATTTTGCTTTGTAACATGAAAAATAAATACACTTTTTGACCTCATCATTTACTTCATTAATAACAAATTTTATTTTGTTGCTCTGCTGACTGTTGTATATTCCTTTATTTGATATATATTAGTTTTTATTAAAAATTTACCAATCAAATATTTTATATTCTGTGAGCAACTTAAAAAATAAATGCACTCTCATATTAATAAATAAACTCTCTCCTATTAGTTTTCTCTCTAAAATTGTGTTTTAAAGTATGGTGAAATGTTATATTGCATGATTTTGTACAATATTGGCAAATATTATATTTATATTTAATGCTACAAGATCTATAAAATGAAATTCACAACTGAGGTTGCTATTCAAATGGATATAGTATAATATGGGTTAAAACATAATGCTTACTGATCTTGAACCCTTAAAATATTGTTGCATCAATAATCAGTAATATTATAAATACATTTGTACATATTTTAACCAGCAACCTTAAAAACACAATGTTATGTTAACAATTTTAATAAAATATTAAATAGAGCATTTTAATAAAAAAAAACGTAAAATTGATAGCTTTAAATTTTTTTTTACTGCAGGTTTGAATGCACCACTATATGCTAGTTCTAATGATATTTTATACTGGTCTACACTAAATATAAACTTCACCGTAAATTATTGGTTAAACAGTGGTATGCAAAAAGAAAAGATCATGGTAGGACTCCCAACATATGGGCATTCATTTACGTAAGTGCTTTTGTAATTATATATATATATGATCATGTAAAAAATCCTGCATTAATTAATACATAAAGAAAACTACTTTATAGTTTGTTGAATCCTCTTAATAACAAAATTCAAAGTCCAGCTAGTGGCTATGGACGTTTAGGTGAGAATGGCTTTGTGACCTATCCCGAAGTAAATTGGTTCATCAGACACAATATATTTGTTGATCTTCAATTCGATGAAACTTCATGTTCTCCATATGTATCTGGTGGTAATGAATGGATTTCATTCGAGAATACAAGAAGTATTGAATGCAAGGTTAGTCTCATGAATATCAATTACTACACAATAGTAATAATTCTCATAATAAAAATAATAATTCTATTCAAGTCAAAATATATTAAAGACAACAAATTTGGAGGAGCAATGATTTATTCTCTCAATAGTGATGATTTCCAAGCAAATGCGAATACGTTTCCATTGACAAAAATAGTAAAACAAATATTAAAATTATGATGATAATTTTAGCTACAAGAACTTATAGGAAATCAATATTATAATTATTAGTACACAATAATGAGAACAATATACGAGGAACATACTTCACATTTAAAAATTTGTTAATAATTATTAGTATTTTGAAAAACATTATCACTGGGTGTTTAATTGCATTTAAAAAAATATATACCTTCTGAATATATTTTAGTGCAATATTCATTATTGCAAATAAAATATTTTTCATATTTTGAATAACCAAGTACATATACATTCCACAAATAATTAACTTTAATTCAAATTAAACAGAACTTTTGTCTTTTCTAGCCAGACATTGTACATTTAAAACAAACAAAGATCTTACTCTGTTATGTAGTCTTAGGTTCATGCAGAACCATTTGTACAAATTATTTTGTAAATACATATTAATTCAATAAACTATTGCGTGTTACTGTAAATTTTTTAGAAAATATTTGCACATATACAAGAATATCGATTAATAATTGGAACTCTCAGAACTAAGTATACATAAATTCATCTCAATTGCAAAACTAATAAACCTTAAAACATAGCCACGATTGTTAAAAATAATGACTTAGCTTATTAATAATGAAATATAAATAAGTAAACATATACCATATTAAAATGTGTTAACAATATTTTATAATGACTATATCACATAATAAATAATTATATATTATGATTATATCTAAATGACTTAATATAAAAACTATTTGATCAACAGAAGAAATTTTTTTACCTGATTACATATTATATATGTAAATAAATGTTTTTGGTCACCTGATTTCTTCCGTAAATAAGTAAAAGAAAAATAGATGAGTATGATTGCTAGTACTTGTTTTTTTTGACATAAAACATGATTGACGTATGTCAATTTAGTGAAGGAATACGACCCAGCCAATTAATCTCAATGTTTGGCCACTTTGTTTGGAGACATGTAAGCATTGTATTTGAAGGGCAAACACTTTTCAAATCACATTCTAGCAGAACAGCCATACCTCGTTGATATGTCACCTATCAAGCAAAATTATATATTAAATATAATATACAACATGATGTCACAGAACTCAACATTTCCTAAAAACTTAGGCAATTGTGTAATTATTTTTGACTAGAGACCAATTATTTACGATTACGAATCCAAAGGTCACAGTTTGACCAAAGGTCAAGACTGCACTAAAAAAACTCTAAAATAAAACTCATATTTTTCAAACTATGCGAGATTTTTTTTTCTAATTTTTTTCATGATAGTTATGATCAATATTATCGTTTCTGGGTCACCCTGTATGATATCTTTGTATCTATAGTAAAAAAAAGATGTAACAGGTATCTTGTTATTGTCATTAGATCTTGGCAATTCATTATAGTGATATAAAAAGACCAATTATTTATGATTATGAATCCAAAGCTTAAATAAACAAAGTTAATAAAAATAGTCAAAAAATGGTCACAGATTGACCAAAGGTCAAAGCTGCACTTGAAAACTCAAATATAATTTTCACACATTTTTGTCAGATTTTTTTTTTCTAATTTTTTTCATGATAGTTATGATCAATACTATCGCTTCTGGGATACCTCGAATGATATCTTTGTAACTATAGTATAAAAAAATGTAACAGGTACCTTGTTATTGGCATTAGATCTTGGCAATCCATTATAGTGATATAAAGTGAAACAATCAGGAGTAGAACGCTTTTCACCAGAAAAAAATTCATCCATAAACGCATTCAATAATATTATACCTAAGTTCTCTGCATCCAACTTTTTACGCATTATATCAACACTGTGAAATAAAAATCAGTTAAAATCGAATTTTTTAAAAATTAATGCATAACAAATGTTTATACTCACTATTCTGGATCACTAACTAAATTTAAAGCACATAAAACATCCTGTAATAATATACTAGAAATAAAGTTATTTCCTTCTGGATCAAACTGTTTAAAAACTCGGCGAGCAGACTCACTGGCTGTCTCTGGAGACACCAGTAACTTCTCAAAACTGAACAGAACTGTATTCAAAAATGCATGAAGATTATGAGTAATATATGACGATATGAAAAAAAAATATATAAAATAACTTACCTGTTAAGTGAGTTTCTGAACCCATTACCCAGACAGGATTTTTTGGATTTTTGAAAAATGAGCCAACAGTACAATACCTCATTTGTTCCATGAGGGTTATGAAACCTATATCTGCTTGTTGGTCAATGCCTCGAAGCTCTATAATAAAATATTAAATTAGTCAATTAAAAACTACTGCGTAAAGCTCTTACTTCAATTTAAAAAGCAGTATTTTCTTTCCAAACCATACTCAAAGAAATTTTTCCCATATAAAACCAAAAACGCAAACTCAACATGAAAAATGTATTACTATTAATGTATAGTAAAAATTTCAAATGTTAAAATAATCCTCAGTATATTTGCATGAATAAATTATGACTATATAATTAATATACATTTGAAGTGACGAATTACAAAATGAATCACTATCATCAAACCATCAAAATATTTCTATGGAGGGAAATTCATTGTTACAACTGACAAAATTTTTCATTTCTGGCTCAAAGCTCTTATATCTAAGCAACGATTCACTTCTGTGACGGTTCGTATCACAAAACACTGTATTTGTACAATGTTGATAATTGTTATTTAGTTCAATTCATATATGAAACTAATGGGAAGCTTGTGATAAAACCTTAATATATAATATTAGCCAGGCCTTATTCATTGAAAACAAAACCAGCATTCACTAAAATTTGCCTAGCTTCAAACACCCAGCGTCAGTGAATCGATGTGTAGCAACAAGTTCTTAATGCTGGTATAATAATAAATAATTTAAGCTTTCATATTGAGATTAATGGCTTTCATGTACTAAACTAAAATTTGATATTCAATTTTATTATAACTTAATCAAAAGACAGCTATTATGGTACATTATATGTAGTTCATATTTACACCAGAGCGATGATTGCTGGTTGATTTTACACTATATTGTATTGCATTTCAGCTTAATAGTTTTGTTATATTATTATTTGGTATAATATGTAATTATTGTATAATTACATATTATATATTGTGAAACAAAATTCGAATTCAAATAGTAATAACAATACTTAAATTTAAATTTTTAATTAATACTTCCCTAATATTATGGCAACATTAGATTCATAGCTTTTCTTAGCTTCCTGAATGTGAAAACAAAGAAAGGGAAACACCTATGCATCATGCATTATCTGAAGTATCAACTATAAATTCATCATTTCTTTTCTAAAAAAAAAAAATTTTAACTAAAAATAAATGATAAATAAAATAACCAAAAACTAAAGAGAAATCTAAATAGGTTGTCTTCTTCCAACATAGATATACAGTACAGGCCAAAAGTTCCCGGACACATAAAAAAAATCTCATTTTCTGAGTTTTTAGCTATATTTTTCATATAAAAATAATTTTATTCAAGTTAGTTTTGTACATTCTATGTAGTATTAATATTTAGTGATTGATTTGTAACCAATTTGTGAGAAATGATAGACTAATTAGCAATGAAAATGTTAAAATGTCACTGCAGTCGATTTTCCTGAATATGACCACCCTTTGCTTTGATCACTGCAGCGCATATTTTTGGTAATCTTTCGACGATTTTTTGCAATGTTTGCGCAGGTATGTTCTTCCAGGACTCGTTAAGGGATTCCACAGGGCAGGAAAGCTGTTTGGATGCAAATCCTTCACGCGGCGCTTAAGCTCGTCCTATAACAGTTCTATTGGATTAAGATCCGGCGATTGTGCAGGCCACTCAATTATTTGAAGTATTTTTGAAGAATTTATCGTCTGAAAAGTTATTTTGAAAGAAACAGGCAAATCATATCGCGATATCGCCAGAATACTACAGGTACTTAAAAGTACAGCACAAAATGCAGTGGCAAGATATCATGAAACAGGCATCAATACTGATCGAATTCGATCTGGTCGACCTCGGAAAACCTCAAATAAAGTCGATGACAAGATATACAACATCAGCAATGCAAATCGATTCAAGTCCGCTTCAGATATCCGGGCTCAAATCAATGAACGGTTAGATGAGCCAATATCACTCACGACGGTCAAGCGCCGGCTTCGAGAAAAAGGTATGATTGGTCGTGTTGCCATCAAAAAACCACTTCTGCGAGCAGTAAATAAACAAAAGAGATTGCAATTTGCCAAAACCCACTTAAATTGGACCATCGATCAATGGAAATCAGTGTTATGGTTGGATGAGTCAAAATTCGAACTTTTCGGAAATCATCGACGTCAGTATTGTCGTAGGAAGGGTAATGAAAGACTCAATTCTAAGTGTATTGCGCCGAAGGTGAAGCACGGTGGTGGTTGAGTGATGGCTTGGGGTTGTTTTGGATTCAATGGAGTTGGCTCGCTTGTCAAAATAGATGGAACTTTAAAGAAAGAACAGTATCATAGCATACTTCAGCGCCACGCCATTTCATCTGGTCTTAATTTAATTGGTCCAAAATTTATTTTTCAACAAGATAATGACCCTAAACACACTTCCCGACTCTGTGCCAATTATTTGGAGGAAATAATTGAGTTGCCTCCACAATCGCCGGATCTTAATCCAATAGAACTGTTGTGGGACGAGCTTAAATGCCGCGTGAAGAATTTGCATCCAACCAGCTTTCCCTGCCCTGCTTTAACGAGTCCTGGAAGAACATACCTGCGCAAACATTGCAAAAACTCGTCGAAAGATTACCAAAAATATGCGCTGCAGTGATCAAAGCAAAGGGTGGTCATATTCAGGAAAATCGACTGCAGTGACATTTTAACATTTCATTGCTAATTAGTCTATCATTTCTCACAAATTGGTTACAAATCAGTCACTAAATATTAATACTACGTAGAATGTACAAAACTAACTTGAATAAAATTATTTTTATATGAAAAATATAGCTAAAAACTCAGAAATGAGATTTTTTTCATGTGTCCGGAAACTTTTGGCCTGTTCTGTATGCTCACATATATATATCACTCAGTTAAAAGTCCTAAAGAATAAACCAAATGTTTAGGCACTTACTAAGTCCTCCGATGTCTTGCACATGATCCCAAACATGAGCAACAGCTTTACCAGTTAGCATAAGATTTATCAATCCTTGAGATCCATATCCGTAAGTATCATGAATAAGAGGTTCCGAAGTGTCATTTAATTCATTTTTAACTTGATCAATTCCCTAAAAAATGTCACTATCACTAAACAGCTGACAAAACATACTGATCAAATAATATACATTATGGTAAATATAGATATATACTCAAGAATCGGAAATGTTGAATTAATTATTGCTAATACTGTAATAATATGTACTAAAATTAAAACTGACAAAATACTTTCACTGAGGTTTAGTTGTAATTTTATGTTTGTAAATTAACTATAAGTACTGTACACTTACATTATTCTACTCATAAATTAACTCACTTTCGTTAATCTTTATATTTACACTAATTTTCTAAACATTATGTTGTTTCA